TATTTGTATATTAAAGCCGAATTGTATAAAACAAAACAATCGGTTTTCATGACTTTCTTTTTTTAAATGAAACATTTTTTTTATAGATTTATACACTTTTTTTAGGCATGGTTGGGCATGACGTTCCTAATTTTGATACCTCGTGATATTATTTATTTAAAGGGTTGATAACCTACAAGCAGAAAATACAAAGGTATACTCACTATAATATTTTTTATTTTTGAAATCAATATAAACCTAGGGAAAAGCTTTTGACTCAGGAATAATAATACAGTTCATTACTTTCAACATTAAATATAGCCCTAAAAGTCAACTTTGACCGTGGGGTACCTGAAACTTAAAGCAATTAAATATATTTTTTCGTCCGTCATATGAAATCAAACATTCTCTATCGATTCAGCCAATTGATAAGCCAAACAATACGTCAGCTCATTTCGAATTAGAATCACTAAAGCATGTTCGTTGTTTATCTGACATCATAATTGTAATGCTATAAAATATTACAGAAAAATACAATATATAATAAATTACTGAGCAATGGTATTGGCTAATGACTTTCGAACGTGGGTTAGACTTCGGTGACCCTTTACCCAATAAGCACTTACGCAAATTAGTTGCAAAACTGTGTAGATGGTCTCTAGATATAGGCAGCCTTGGCTCCGTAGTTAATGTAATTTGGCCTCCTACCAGCGACTTTACCTTGGCAATGGGCTATGATGTTGATTTCTATAATAAAGTCACCCGTGTATATAACTATTCATTGTTTGTTGTTAAAAATAACTATGACAATTAATAAATTGTTAGGAAAATTTTAAGTCGGTTATACACTTGAAATTAGAAAATTAACAATCTGGTGTATGCAACACACAACTTTCACTTACCGCTCTAATTTGAATAGAAATTATTTTCTAGCAATATTTGGCTATTATAACATTTTTGAGGTGTATTTTAAAAGGAGCTAAAACTTAAATAATTTGATTATCAAATCACTAAGACCATTAAAATAACAAAAACTGTATTTATTATACCTCATGATGATTTTCCGGAATAAATGACCTAGATAGATACCTAATAATTAAATATAATATCAGATCTAGAGTTATTAAACTATAGTAAGTGTATTTAAAGTTATAAACATGTATTCGAAAAAGTTTTGTATTTCACTTCTTCTTTTACACAAGTACAATGCAATACTATTTTAAACAATGCCATTGCCTTGATTCGGAGGATTTTAAATACTTTTTTCAAACTCAAAAAGTTGCTGTAACATCCCAGCCACATACAAACTTTAAATACGGAATTGTAGTTTGCTAACACTTTTCGTTTTTAAGCTAGACTGTTGACATATACACAGACCATTTTGCGAGACTTGTTCATTTGGACTTAAGGGACCTCAAAACGTGTATTTCTGTTGAAAACTCGGAATTTTCACGATCGCAATATTTTTCCCTTACTATATATTTGTAAGGGCTCTTGTAATTTGTAAGGGGGACGCCTCTTGTAAAGGCTGCCTATCAGCATTATTTCAGTATCAAAGTAGGTGTCCACGAAATGTCTTAGGCTCAACATATATGTTGTAACGCGAGAATGGATGACAAAGAAATAACGATCTATGGCTTTCGTTGAGAGTATGGTTTGGCGGGAGCTTACAAACCATTTAGATTACTGCTATTTCTACTTGACTCCACCTATAAAGGCAGGATTGTCTATGAAGAAAAGAAGAAGAAACAATTCAGTACCCGAATCATCGATCTGCTATTCGAACCATTCTGCATTCAGATAGTATACCAGTTTCTACTCCACCTGAAAATTGTATGTTTGAAATAGAAAATGAAGACAGTGTGGAACAAGAAGAATAACCAAACAAGCCTTCCACATCTCGTGACCCTGATTTTGAGGAAAAATATGATAAACCGCACAGACTGAGTCAAGCGGAATTGAGTGATCTCATCAGAGATCTTGGCCTATCAAAGGAGAAGGCAATAATCATTGGGTATCGACTACAGCAATGGAATCTTCTCCAAAGTGATGTCAGAAAATAAATAATCTTGTAGTTTGCTGCAAAATTAATGGCTTGATGAAATCTTTGAACTTGAAATATGATCCAACTGAATGGAGCCTATTCATAGACTTCTCCTAGCTTAGTTTTAAAGCTGTGTTACTTAACAATGGCAAACTTCTTTCTTCTATTCCTGTTGGCCATGCAGTTCACATAAAGGAGACATATGCAAATCACAACATATGTCATTTATCACGAAAAATCTGTGGTGATCTAAAAGTCATTGCCATACTCTTAGGAATGCAACTGGGGTACACAAAACATAGCTGATTCTTACGTATGAGCGACAGTAGAGATAGGAAATTGTATTATATTAGAGACTGGCCTGCAAGAAATCTAAACCCTAGCGAGAAAAATTTCGTTGCCAAGTCTCTCATGGACCCAAAAGATATTCTATTTCCATAGATGCATATCAAACTGGGTTTGATGAAAAATGTTGTCAAATGTATGAACCAGTAAGGATGGATCTTCAAGTACACAAGAGAGAATTTTCCGAAATTAAGTGGTGCAAAAGTTAAGGCATTTTTGGCGGGACACAAATTCGAGTACTTGTGAAGGATCCTGCATTTGACCAAGTTTTGGAGGGGAAAGAAAAGGAAGCTTGGAAAGCCTTCAAGAGGTTTGTTCGTGGATTTTTAGACAAAATAAGAGACAACTACACGCATTTGGTGACTGCTCCTGCAAAAGTACCACAACCTTGGATGCAACATTTCCTTTAAAATCCATTTTATCCATTCCCACCTAGACTCCAAGTTGTGGAGCTATTAGTGATGAACATGGAGAAAGATTCCATCAGGAAATTTCTATTATACAACAAAGATATCAGGGCCATTGGAATGAAGCGATGCTTGCGGATTACTGTTGGTCTTAATGTAGGAATGCTCCGGAACTCCCTTACAAGAGGCAAGCTAAGGAACGACTATCTCATGATGCTACCATATAATCTCTTCAGACACGACCGTCTGTGAGGTATTCTTCCAGCAACTTAGAACTCTTAGAATGTAACTACCATTTTGAAAAATCAAATTCACTTTCAATGTTATTAGCATATATAATTAAAATGTATCTTTTTCTCTTAACCCGTTAATATGAAAAACTTCCACCTAATGTATATCACAGAAACTAGATCTAAGAAAATTTTTCATTGTGATATTAGTTTTCCTCAATCCAAAATTAGTAAGAATTGATTCATGAAGTGCTGGAAACATTCGAAAATTTCTTTTTTGTTGAAAAGAAGTTCCCAGTCTAATTGGAATTAACTAATATATGGCGAAATAAATCACCTGTGAGAATAAAATTTTTATTCTGTGAAAATAAAAATTCAATTCTATAACTATTAAATAAATAGTTTATTTAGTATTTATTTCTAAAAATGGAGACTTTCCAACCCCTTTCGGTTCATTTTAGCTCTTACGCATTATAAAAATTAACAGTAACCTTGAAGGTAGAAAAAATTAACATACACAAAACAAAAATTAATATATAGCTGGGCTTTTTGAATAAATAAAAACAATTTGTTGCCATCTTCGTGTTGTTTTTCAAAATGTCAGCAATATTCTCCACTTCATTCCGATATTCTTCATAGGCTCAACGCTTAGCCTAGATGTGCATCACCGTGTAATTTACCCGCAGGAAAGACACTTGGGAGATGTCATTAGGTGTCCATGTGTTAGCCTTGAGTATCCGATTCGTGGTATTGCTAAGATGATTTCTTCTATTCTTTTCAACTGGAGGTGCGCTCGATTTGTAACTACAGAGGTCTAGATATTGTAATTTTTATATGATTCGGAATCTATGATAACAGTAGCACCAAGATTTACTATTGCAGGTATAAGATTGGACTCATGCCTTAACTGGAAAACTGTACATTTCTGTACTTTGGACACAGCACCGCGCGCGTTGCCCGATAACCTGATAACTGAAGTCACAGGCTGATTTACGGGGGTGGGGAAGCTTTCGGGCTGAAGCCCTTCTCCCCCCCCCCCTCAATATGTAAAATATAACCATGTTTTACAGAAAAAAATATTAAAAGCTATCTCTTAAAGTATTCTTGTTCCTGTAATTACATTTAATAGGACTTCAAGAACCACTTAAACACCATTTCATATAGGTAGTTAATTTCTTTCTTTTTTTCAAATTAATTATCGTTTTATGTATATGAAAAAAAAAATCTTTCAGGCTGAAGCCCCTCCCCCAAGATTAAATCCTGGATCCGCTAGTGACTGAAGTTAGAGATGACAAAATAATTATGAGTTCGCGTCCTGGTGCTCGGGGTGGGGGACAAGAGAGCTTTTAATTCTGGCATTAATAAAAAAGACTTTAAAAGTTAATTATTTAATCTTAAAAATTGGCAGTTATCCTTTAATTAATACATTCCTTAAATGTTGAATTTTTTAAAGTATTTTTCGAAAACCGTAAGTTTAACAGTGATAATTAATATTTCATAAGACTTTATGAAAATCAATATTGGAAGTAATAATACAATCGTTTAACACAATTTGGTTTTTTATTTTCCTCAAAAGAAACAAAATGTTAGAAAAAATGTTTACTCTAGAAAAAGCTACGTAAAGTTGGCCATGCGTGAACACATGGAAAATATAACCCCACTTTTTTTTAAATGTTTGTCTTCGAGATTTATTGATAGTGATTGCATCGTCAATTTTTATAGGAAATTGTCTTCGAACGATATTGAATGGCATTGTTGGGTCTGATGGTGTCAAAGATATTCTAGGAATAAGAACAGTGTAACCAGAGTTAATGGGTTTTAAATTAATTATATTTTTGGATCGAAATTTCAATTAGATTATATCTAGTCCTTTTTCAATTACAACTTAAAAGTCTGTTTTAAACACTTAACGTGGTATTTCAGGGAATTTCATGCAATTATGGAAAGCAGATTTTTCTCTTTTATGACTATTGGAAGTAGAATAAGAAAAGCTGCACTAATTATAAATATATTTTAATTACATAAATATAATACAGAATTCTCCGACAGATACATAACTAATCTAGATGCAGAGAAAATTTGCTTTAACTTAAAAAATGCGATAATAGATGTAACTTCTTTAAAACTTCTTCGATAGCTCAATAGCAATCTTGCAGCCCCCCTTGATGATGTTGCTAAGGGCTTCGTAGAAGGGAGCTTCCTCAGCTCCGTACTTAATGCCAGTGTCGTGATGCTCCTGCTCTTCGTCCCTGAACTGCTTGATGATCTGCATCACTTTGGGGTCGACCTCCGGGTTATTCATCAGGGTCCTCAGCTGATCGTTGTAGTGGTCCACGATCACTGACTCCACGGCGACAGTACAGGCCATCGCCCCCTTTTCTCCAAGGAGTGCTGTTCCTGCGCCTAAAGCGAAGCCAGCCAAATTCCAGAACGGGAGTAAAGCGGTCGGTCGTACCCTGTACTCCTGGATCAAATTCTCGAACGTGTTCCTGTGGTGCTTCTCCTGCTCCCACATTTCCTTTATCTTCGGTCCTACTTTGGTATTACCAAGGACGGCCATCTGTCCTGCATATATCCGATCTGCTCCAAACTCGCCAGCATGATCTACCCTTATCATGGTAGCTAAGGCTTCATCCGCTTTCTGACGAACCACAGTCGAATATTGTGCCGTCTGAAGCCGTTCCAATGTCCTCAGGCATGTTTTAAAAGACATCTTCCAACGCTGAAACACAAAATTTTCGATTAACCCTAAAATATATAGATCATAAGGGAAGTTGAATAATAAAAATTAAAATTAAAAACTCATTTCAGTCATAACATTAAATGATCATAAATATTACCACAAAAACTGATACTGTGAAATGAAATGAAAATATTTTTTTATTATCCTGGGAATGTTCTCCCTTAAGAATGCAGTATAAATACAGAAAAAAATGTCTAGTGGCCAAACATTAAATTAAATATTTACAAAATAATATCTAATTAAAATAAAAATATAGGAAAAAAAAGGAGAAAGCAAAAACATATATGTATATATATATATATATATATATATATAGCATGGGTGATGAATATTCAGGACGCAGTCATTATAAAGTTTTTATTAGTGCCGACGTTTCAACCAAAACATGTGGGTCATCATCAGGGCTTGTTTCGAGCACAGAAGGTATTCAAGTTAATTTACTAAGGTATTAAAGTTAACTTCCTCCAATTATATATATAGAATTAAAAAAAAGGAAAATAAAATAACAAAAGTAAACAAAATAGTTTCTGGAGGAACTTAGGAAATTCTCATATTTAAATTTCATGACCAGTCAGATTGGGAAAAGTGTAGGTGCTTAAAAAAGACAAATTTTAATGAGTAAACTGATTGCGCATGTGATCAGCACATTCTATGGCGGTGATAGAATTACAAAGGATTTGTCAAACATAGCAGTTCGGTGAGGAGGAGGAAGAGGTCGAAAGTACGGGAGTACGGGATCTGGTGGGACAGGATTGAATGGAGGATTTGGATTGTAGGCTTTGAAAAATATAGGAGGGCCGCTGACATGTGATGGCCTGGTATTAAAAGGTAGAAAGGAAGTACCGATGGCGGTAGGATGGATAGAGCCACTTCAACTCGGCACATTTTCTCCCGAAATCATTAGACGCTTGAAAGTTATATAAAATATATAGAAAAACTTTGAATTGAGATACTCAACAAAACATTTAAAAAATTGTTTGCTCAGAATTGAAAATTTTCACTCGCGTTTTGTGTTTCAGACAAGGATCAAATTTGGTTCGGTGTCTGTCTATCTCTAGTCAAATCGATGTGCATACGAGCAGCAATATTTCTTATATAACTGTATCAATACGGTAAATATTTATATTAAATCACGTTAATTTAAAATTGAAAATAATAAATCCATGGTTGAAGGTTCTTATGATGAAACAAAGGCGGCTGGATATCGGTTGCGGCCATTTAAACCGAATGCAAATTCTGTTTTCAAGAATCTGATTGTAACCCCGTTCCAGGCACATTTTGGTCAAATTTCTCAGAGAAATCTCGAGAATCGAGCTCTAGTAAACTGTCTTGTAATAAACTTTAACAACTACTTTATTCCACAGGCAGTCTTCTGGGACATAAAATATCAGAAGTCATAATGAGAATAGTGAGCAACAGAACAGTATTTGATGCTTATCCATCGTCTTCGTGCCTAGAATATTCTAAGGTGAATGTAAGGGTGACAGACATTTAAAGAGAATTTTTAGCATTAATGTGAATCACGACTTAAGTTCTTACGGTGGATCTTTGCAAATGGGGTTTATTGAAAATTTAGTCTTTTACCAACTCAGTTTATTCTATACAGTCAATTAGTTTATTATTCATGAAACAATTAGGAAATTCTGCCATCGTATTTTGTACCAGTAATAGACATTCAGGTTTTGGTGTAGACATATTTTTTATATAGTTAAAAAATAAAAAATCTCCAAAATTTTAAACAATGACAAGCTACAGATGCATAAATCAAAAATCCAAACATATCTCCTAAATACAAGTTATAAGGAAAGCTTTCTGAAATAAACACGAAGTCTTGCTCAATTGAAAAATCAACCAACCGGTTATTGTTGTATGATATCCATCACCTAAAGTTCATTAATTACCTTCTTAATATTTCTACCTTCAAATCTATTCGTATTTGCAATCTCTTTTGGGCGTATAAAGCTTATTACATGTTAATGAGTTGATTACTGCTACAGTGTCCATTACTGGCTTATTTACCCTTGATTCCAATTGTGGACACTATCGCATACACTATTTTTTTTAAAAGTTACTACATAACAATATTAAATAAAATAATATATGTTTATAAAACTATATACAGAACTAATTTAAGGTTCTTTTATATGCTGTTTTGACATTGATATATCAATTCTTATATTGATTGTATTAATTCTTGAATGATCATACATTTGTAATCAATAAAAATGGAGAGGATACTTTTACTTCACCACTTAAATTTATTATAGGCAAATTAGTAAATGGTTCAGAAAGCTACCATTTTCATCTTTCTGGCAAAACAAAAATCTAAAAATACTTTTGGCCAAGGGCCAAAGGGTCAGATGAAGTTGATCTGGCAAGGATGAGCGAAGCAATGCCAGTACCTTGTTTGATGGGAATAGCGATTGGGTAAAACCATTTAAAAAATACAGTGGACAAATGAAAAGCAAAGACAAATTCTTTATAGTATGGAGGACACAAAATTAAAGCTTCTTGGTTTGAACCCGGACAATGGCACATGATTTCACAAGGTCTGCAAGTTTTAGTTTATATCCTTTAATAACACTTCCACATTTTGTAAAAACTAATAAAATCAAAGAATCTTCATTGAAATATTTGATAAACAAGAGTGCTCTAAATACAACTCAGTTTGAATCAGACAAAGGACGTGCGTGCCTAGAGGGTCTCGAGTTGCATCCCGATTTTTAAAAAATGGAATTGGGTTCTGACATTTTCTTCTCCGAGAAGGGTTGGGTACGGGTTTTAGGGCGATAAATTGTTAGATTATTACGCCCGTAGAATTCCTAATAATATCTACCATTTCTTAAATTGTATAATGTTCTTTTACAATTTGTATGTTTTAATTTTCAAATTAACGTTTTATATTATTTAGGTATTTTCCTTTCTTCTAGTAGAGTACTCGAATTGGGACCGGCCTATCAGTGTTACACAGGAGACATCGCGTATTTGGAACGTTAGTGTTTACAAAATTGTTCTTGAGGCTTTGAAATATAACATCAATATCTAGGGCTTCGAGACTCACAAACGTAATTACATTTTTTTAAAAATGTTTTCGTTATTCAATGTAACTGTATATTGGAAAACAACCTACTTCTGTTGTCGTACACACGGATGCACGTCTACAAATATTTCAAGATTGAAAGAAATGTATCTAACATAATAAAAATATTAGTTACTGACACAAAAATGTAACAGAAAATACTTCTTTGCAATCCCAAAAGTAAGGATATTTGTAGTTACATTCATGTGTCTCTAAACCTCCGATATTTTATATTGATTATATCAATATATTGGGTTGGCAAATAACCTTTCGGTTTTTCTGGATGAAATAAAACTCAATGCATTATAGACATAAAATTTATTTAATCTACAATATATTGACCATTATTTAATAATAATTTTTCTCATCTTTCCACTAAATGCATAATGCCATCTTCATAGAATGTCTAGAGTTTATTGTTAAAAAACTGATCCAAGTGGTTTTTGATGTTCTCTTTTTGGAAATTGTTACCATTCATGGAGTTCTGCAGAGACCGGAATAAGTGGCAGTAACTTGGAGCTAGGTCTGGTGAATAGGGAGGGTTGGGCAAAAGGTCCCATCCAAGGCTCAATAATTTATTACGAGTGACCAATGAAGTGTGGGGCGAGCGTTGTTTGGTTGAACATAACACCCTTCGGATCATTTGTAACTCTTCAGGATGTTTTCCAAATTCGATGTTACTATATCAATTGGAAAACTGAATTATTGGTTTTCAAAGCCGTATGAGTGTTTTTTTTTATTTAATGCCTACATAAGGAATAAATTTAAAAAAACTCCTAATAGGTTTTTATTTGTTATCTCCATTTGTAGTTGGTTTACGAAGGTCCTATTGATGTAATTTTGTGTAGTTTATGTGACCCTAAATTCCTGCTAAATTTCATGTAGATAGCTAAAGTCGTATTGAAGTGATAACATTTTTTGTGATTTCAGAAAAAAAAATCATGTGAGGGAACCAAACATTAAGCCTGGAAACAGCAGAGTTTCTGCAAATGGTTTTCCATGCTTGTGTGCGACATATTTAGGAGTGGTTAAATTAAAAACATAGAAATATTTAACTCTAGGAGAACCGAGAGTTTTGTCTCACTGTGTGGCGTTCTGTTCGGGAAAGAATACCTCGCGCTTAATTCGAACTACAGGCCACATCATTACATATTCCAAGACTCAATTTTAGTTTATCCGTGGCTAGAAACTGTCATTCGCTGTCATATCAAATAATGATTGTTGCCATTATCACAGCTTTGTACAGAATACAACTGTTGACTTCAGGGAACTGATAGGATTAATACTCGTAAACTCCACTAATAGACATGAAGTCAAAATGTTTGTAACCTCCAGGGATGTTTTGACTCTCGGCGTTACCGCTATAATTCTGGAGTAAAAACAACTTAAGTTAATACGTAGATTAATATTTATTTCAGAAAATGTTCTTTCAATGGAATGCATGGCTCAAGAAATACAAAGAAGGATCACGGCTGCCAATAGATGTGTCTTTGGACTTGGCCGACACTTAAGAAGTAGGTACCTCTCAAAGAAGACCAAGCTGATCATATACAAGACCCTTGTTCGGCCTGTTTTGACATATGGCTCAGAGGCTTGGACGATGACAAAAAAGGATGAGATGAAGCTGAGTGTGTTTGAGCGAGGAGTCCTCAGAAGGATTTATGGTGCAGTAAAGGAGGGTGATGTCTGGAGGAAAAGAAAAAATAGGGAGCTCAGTTCTCTCTATGCAGACATCGACGTAGTCACATATATTAAACTGGCCAGACTAAGGTGGGCAGGGCATGTGGCCAGAATGAGCACCGTTGAAATACCAAAAAAAATAATGATGGAGGAGCTGCACCTCGTAAGACGGGTAGGAAGGCCGAGGACGAGATGGTTGGACAACGTGGCCTATGATGCG